ATAATAATTAAGATAAAAACCGGAGTCATTATTACATACCATTAAGTCAACAGAGACTAGAAGTCCAGTTTCATGAATTGCTTCACAAATATAATGACCTTCCCTGAAGGTCAACCCACCACGAACAGGGGTACCTATAATTCAATAATATAATTAATCAAAGAATTAAAATATAATTTAAAAAAGTAATGGTATAAAATATATTTACCAGTACTTGGGGCAACTGTTGGATCTAACGCATCAACATCAAAACTAAGATGGATAGGACGATCCCTTTTAGGATTCACGGCATCAAGAGCCATTTCCACAACCTTGCCAATACCATACTTATCTACGTGATTCATAGAAAATGCTTTGATTCCATATTTCTTTAAAATCTCCTTTTCTGGCGGATCAACATCTCGTAAACCAATATATACGAGTCTATCAGGTCGGAGCAGAGGTTTCAACCATGAAAATGTTTCATATACTTTCGGATTATTACCCAATAGAGCATCTTCAACTGCCAGCAGGAAGGATACAGGACAACCATGTAAATTACCAGAATCGGTAGTTTCAGGAGTATTGATATCCTAATAATAGTATAAATAGAAAGTAAATAAATAGAAGTAAAATAAATGATATATAAATTTAAACAAAAAGCGCATTCATACCGCGTGGGCATCGATCCAGATGAGGCAAGCATCAGGATAAACAGAGAAGGTACCTGACACCGTGCCGAGCGCAAGACTATGATCACCTCCAAGAGTAAGAGCCAATCGGCCTTGTTTAAGATGAGATTCTACAGCTTCAGAAACGGCCTCACTTACTCGCGAAACATAAGCAGGTTGTTTGAGTTTCCCTATACTATCCTCATGCTCAGGTGGGGGGTTAAAATCGTTAAATTTATGATGACCATCAAATTCCACGTTCCAACCCAATTCCACAAGTTGTTCAATCAAGCCGTATTCAATTAATTTTATCGGGCCTTCATCTACACCACCCTTGGACTTTTTAAACAACGAATGATAATGGTTAGTGATGAGAATAAAAAATTATTTGAATAATTATACTTTCAAAGGGAAATAACTCACCTGTCCACCACTAAAAGGGCAGCCAACAATTCCAACAGTTTTGTCCTTGAGATATTTGTAAGTAGTCATCAGGAAACGAATAAGTTGGCTCGGTTTCGTGAAGAATCGATTTTTATATAAAGGGTCATCTGAGCGTGAAAAGATGTGCACAGCACATAGTGCACATTATATACGTTATAGTATTATAAAGCACATCAAACTTTAATATGTATTGTCGTAGTATTGA